TATGGAAATGGATTAATTTAAGCTATAAGAACAGTAAGCAAGAAGCCTGCCACGGCCATACAGTTTGTAAGCAATATAAGTCTCTGTGTTTACTTGTTTGGGTCTGAGTGGCTGTGGGAATGGCGGGTGACAGAGATTTGTCCTGACTGTGGACCAGGCAGGAAAACTCTGGCTATAGTTTTTTGGTGGAGTTTGTCTGCTGAGGACTTGGAACAGGTGTCCCACTGATATCAGGGATGTGAATTCGGTTTTCATGCTTACATAGCAAGGGTCTTGCCCACTAAGCTACCTTCCCATCCCCCAAACTGATATTTTCACAGTCTGGCTGCCAGTTCAAAATACTTTCTTCTGCTCATACCATGAGAACTGAATGAAATAAGCTTCTGAACACATCACTTGCATGCATTCTTACCGTGGCCCTTAAAGGAACCTTACTATGTACTCACTCCAAAAACAACTGCAAATATATTTTCACACAATCACCAGAATTGCTATTTCCTCTGTCTGTCTCACTTACATCTGTGCCACATGCAACTGAGAGGCTGTTGACCCCAGAAATGGGTCTGTCAGAAGTGGTTGGGTGGCCCGCACTCGAAACCACCTTCATTGCTCAGTAGTCATGGTCCATCGGGGTACAAGCTAATGATGACTTGCAAACTTCTCTGCTGAGGTAAAGGGCTAATTACTTTCAGACCCACAGTCTGGAGCTTTGGATCTCTGTGGGGGTCCCTGAACCTAAGTCCCTGTTCAGGGCACCATCTGTGGGAGGCCTGCTCCCACCTTTTAAAGGGTTCCTATGAGGAAGAGAGAGAAATAAAAACCTTGTAGATAGAAATATAGCAAAGAAGAGACAGAAACACAGGATACCTTTGGGAGGACCTGGATCATAATCCACCAGCCCCTTCTGGCTCCTCAAAAGGACTTTTTATAACAATGCCAAGGGTTGGGGCAAAAGACCTCCCCCCTGCTAGATCAAAGCATACCACACAGCCAAGTGCAGACCTTTCCAAACACCTGGTAACCACTTAGTCAAATCATTCTCCTATGCAGTCATGGTGAGTAAAGCAAGCTCAGATCTCACCAGGAAACCTCTGTGAACCTCCAGAGATCTCTATGGTGGTATTCTATTTGTACTGAAATGTGATTTTAATTGTATGTTAATAAATAAAGTTGCCCGGGGGTCAGAGCTATTAGAGCCATAGAAAGAGCATGGCAGTGGTGGTGCATGCCTTTAATCCCATAGATCTCTGTGTGTTCAGGGATACAGCCAGCATTGGAGACATACGCCTTTAAGACCTAGAGGGCTGTACTTACAGGCAGTGATGAGGCAGTCATGTGTTTGAGTTTACAACCAATGAGAAGGCAGAACAGAAAGACTACTTAAAGACATACACACAGGAAATAGGTCTCTTTTGGGAAGCTAGGAGCACCACAGGAGGAAGGGTGAGATTTTGGCTCTGAGCTCTGACCTCTTGGCTTTCTCTTTTACATTGGTTCTGTGTTTCTTATTTAATAAGATGGTTGGTTACATCTACAGATCTCACTGCAAAAACCTTTCCAGAAAGGAATCATCAGCTGCCCAAGAACTGTTCCATGAACTGCCACAACCCACAGAGGAAAGAGAGGCCCATGGAGCCAATTGGAGAGTTCCCCAACCAGGTCATTGAGCTATTGTTCCAGGAGGATGAGCCTAAGATGTGAAGGTAAAAGCATTCACTAAACCAGACATCTTCATCACCCATCCAAGAGTCAGGAATCTCTCACAGAGGGGAGAAGGATGTGAGAGGACACTGCTTTCCAGCCGGGACATGGCTATTGAACTGTTGAACTCTCAGCTCTGAGTCCTTGCATGATCCCTGCACAAGAGCAGGCCTGTCAACCTTCCCTTCATGGAGGGAGAGGGACTCAGGAGGCTCCAGAGCTCCCTAGAATCTATCTGCAGTTAATGGTGCTGGAGGGGGAGAGACATTTTGTTCAGTGGTGTGGCCACCAGGAAGGACCCCATGTTCTTATAAATAGCTCCTTGCCCTCCCTTCTATAAATAACACCAAATAAATTCATTAGGTCAAATTTCTTAAAAAAAAAAAAACTCACACAAGAGTAGAGGAAGAGTAATTAGGAAGAGGAAGCAAGCTGGAGGAGGTAGGAAGGGGACATGAGAGGAAATAGAAGGGTTGATATGACCAAAATGTTTTGTACACATTTATGAAAACATAGTGAAAACAATTATTATGTGTCATTAATGTACTATGACATTGTTTAAAGAGTAAGTTTTACTTTCATTATGTCTTTATATAACATGTGTACCTGGTGCATCCAGAACCAGAAGAGGACATCTGATCCCCTGGAACTGAGTTACAGATGGTTGTGAGTACGGGGAACTGAACCCAGGTCATCTCCAAGAGCAGCAATTTCTCTTAACTGCTGAGTCATCTCTCCAGCCCTCTAATAAATTTCTTAAAAAGAATATAAATGCTTGAATATTATTAAACACAGGGAAGGTCTTATAACAGACTTCATAATACAGTTAAATGCTTCATAAAAAATCTAAACTCATAGTTTTAATGACTGTGGATGGTAATGGCCACTTATAACATTCGTAGCAATGTACTATGAAAGCTTGGTGAGAGGGACTCACAGGCCCTTCTAACAATGAAGCCAGGTTATATAGCAATATCAAATGAAACTGGTAAATATAAAGAACGTAATGGGTAGTTTTATGTCAACTTGACATAAGCTAAAGCTGTCTGAGAGGTGAGAATCTCAATTTTAAAAATGCTTCCATAAAATAAGGCTGTAGACAAGGTTGTAAGGCATGCTTTTAATTACTGATTTATGGAAGAAGGCTCATCCCATGGTAGTGGTCCTTTCTTATAAGAAAGCAAGCTGAGCAAGCCATGAACAAGCCTTTCTTAGTAAGCAACACCCACCGATGGCCTCTACATCAGTTTCTGCTTTCAGATGCCTGCTCTGTTTGAGTCCTGTCCTTACTTCCTTCAACTGATGAACAGTGATTTGGAAATGGAAGCCAAATAAACCCTTTCCTCCCCCAGTTCCTTTGGTCATGTTGTTTCCTCATAGAAAGTATCCCTAAGTGAGATAAGTTGGTACCAAAATAGTGTAGTATTGCTCTGACAGACCTAGCCATGGTTTTTGGGGAAATTTGTAGAAGGACTTTGGAACTTTGGGCTAGAAAAGTGTTAAGAGCTAACTGGGCCAATCTTTAGGAACTTGGAAGAGAAGAATATTAAGAGCAGTGCAGACAAAGGATGTCTGCCTTGTGAACTTTAGGGAAGCAGACTCTACTGGGCCATTTGAATGAAGAGTCAATACTTCTGGGTATCTGGGGCTGAAGATTCAGCTGTGATTAACAAGATACCAGAACTACTAAAGTGAAACCTTTGCTGAGGAGCTCGATGCTGGTCAGCCAGAGCTGAGAAACTAGTGATTACAAAGAGACCGGCATCTTTGAGGTGAAGTCTTCTGGAAAGGGTTTCCCGAGAATCAACATATAGAAGCTGTGTTCCAGACATGGCCAAGGTTGTACTTTGTGCTGGCAGATGAACTTAGTAGTGTAAGATCCACCCAGGTGGTGCTGGTTTTGAAGGTGTGAAGGGGTCATGGATAACAGCTGAGGCTTGCAATTGTATAGCAGGACTGAAGTCCATGAAGAGAGCCCAGGATAGGCTACTAGTGAAAGTGCAGTTGCAGCAGAAGGCCCCAGCATTTTGGAGATGCTGGGACCATGGGATGACCACCAAGAACAGCAGCAGCAGTGGAGTGGAGCTGGCCAGAGCTTAGAAGACAAGCTGTGTGTGTCACAGAGGGGGAGCTGGAGAAGTGACTCAAGAGCTGATCTTGTGCAACCCACAGTTCAACCATGGACCCATGTCTGGGTTCTCACTAGGGAATCCACCCCTGGGCCTCTTCTCCATCAAGAGTTTCTGGTAAAGCCAGATTCCTAAAGATTGTATTAAAAGCAAGTCTAAGGGACTGCAGAATATAAGAGCATGCAGGAAAAGGAGAGGGTTAGGGTTGCTTCCCCTGGCTTGTTCAGCCCAACTTCTTACAGAACCCAGGACCAGCAGCCCAGGGATGGCACCACCCATATGGGCTGGGCTCTCCTCCATTGATCACTAAATGAGAAAACACTAAATGGAGGCATTTCCTCAGCTGAAGCTCCTTCCTCGGATGACTCCAGCTTGTGTCAAGTTGACACACAAAACCAGCCAGTACTGGGAGGAAGGGTTTATTCTAGCTCCCAAACCAGGTTGTAGTCCATTATTCCATTATTTCAGGGATGTCAAGGCAGGAACATGATGCAGATGGTCACATGCACAGGCAAAAGCAGGGAGAGAATGAGTGAATGTATGTGTGCCCACTGGTACTCAAACCCCTCTCTACACTTATACAGTCCAGCACCCAAGGCCCGGGGCCTGGTGCCACGCACAACAAACTGGACATCCCACGTCCATTCACACAAGCAAAAAAATCTCCTGCAGACATGATCAAAGGTCAACTGGATCTAGACAATCTGAGATTCTTTTCCCAGATGATTCTACTGTCAACTTAACAACAACATCACAATTTTGTAAGGTAGAAATCTGTGTTGGCTTGGGTGATGATGCCAATGTAGGTTTCATGAGGCCAAAATCAACAGAAGCTAGGTTGTTATTTAGACACACTGGAGAGCATATGTGTATGCTTCCCATGCATCTGGGTTGTCAGCAAGATCCTACCTCCCTGCTGGCTGGCACCTGGGAACCTTTAACTTCTCAAGGTCTCTCGCCTGTCCCTCCATGACAGAACCAGCCATAGCAGAACAAATACATCTCACATCTACAGTCACTGTAACTTCTACCTTGGCCTTCTCACCTCCAGCTAGAGAAATCAGACCT